GCTGCCCTGCCCTGGGTGTCTGCGGGGCTGTTTTCTCTCCCATCCTCTCGCTTCTCTTCTCTCTCCGGCTACTGAGCCACAGCCGGTTTTTTTCCTTCTTAAATATGTTATCCCAGAGGCGCTTCCACCATTGCTGATTGGCTTGGCCTTGGCCAGCAGCAGACACAGGGAAAACTTCTAGCAGCTTCTCACAGAAGCCACCCCTGTACCCCCCCCTCTACCAAGACCTTTCCATAGAAACCCAATACACAGGCCCATGCCGAAATGGCTGCTGGAGCATGAGCTAAGGCTGAGCAATGCTCTTGCAACGGAGTGACTCGCAGTTTGGGGTGCTCTCTGTGTGACTTGTGAGATTACTCAAAATAGCCTGTCATTTAGAAAGTGGCTTTTCGGTGGCTTCTGAAAAGTCGAGCCATAAAACTGCTACTACATGGGACATCGTTGGTCTTGTGTGCATATTTAGTGCACGGTAAAGCCTGGGGAAACACCAATTCTTGCGATTCCATCGAGAAAACCTGATTGTGGCTGATAGCATCAGAAATGAGGTCAGCGGATGGTTTGATGGCACTTGAAATACAAAGATTACGTTCAAGTAGCACACGATATGATGAAACATTTTTCCCCTTAGGGTGAGTCGTCTCTCTTTTCCTTTTCTAGTTTGTCCTGCTAGCTCTGTATGCCGACCATGCTGCTGCTTCCCAGCAGCGTTTCCTTCGCTGCTGCTTCCCGGGCTGCGCGCTGGTCCTGCGCAGAGAACTTTGCTTTTGACGCAGCAGTCGTGCGGTTTGGGTCGTTTTTCCTCTGTGCTCTTGGGAGAGGTGGCTGGGGCACCACAGCTGGAGCTACGACTAATTGGGGTTGAAGAGTCAAAGCTGCCTTAGCGAGGGCTGGAGCAAACGTGTTGTTTTCTGTGGACTGGGCAAAGAGGGAGCTGCTGGAACACAGAATCCCAGCATGGCAGGGGTTGGAAGGGACCTTGGGAGATCACCCAGTGCCACCCCCCTGCTCAAGCAGGCTCACCCAGAGCAGGGGGCACAGGACAGCATCCAGGCGGGGGTTGGATATCTCCAGAGAAGGAGACTCCACAGCCCCCCTGGGCAGCCTGGACGTGCTGTTGAGTGTGCACCAATGCTTAAGGAATCCTCTCGTAGCGTAAGGGCCCATGGCTGCCACAGTGCATTGCAGACCAGAGCATGGCTTTCCTTCCCAGGCAGTCTCGAAGGAAAGCGTTTCTTCTCTCCAGCTCTGAGCATCCCCTCTTCATAACAGATGTTAAATGGGAGAGATGAAGGCCTGAGGCTTGTGTTCTTGCTGGGGAGAGGAAGAGGTTTAGTGCTCTTGGTATTAGAGCTTCTGTTTTCCTGTGGGGAAGCGCTTAAAGAAATGCCTGCAGGGATGCAGGTCTTTTCTTGGACCCAGTTCATTTGCCAGCAACGTGACAGCTCGGAGGGTATGAGCTTGGTAAGTGCGGGGTGGGACGCAGTCAGCCAGGATCAGACCTGGAGCCAGAAAAGTCAAAACTATTTTCTCAGCCGGTGGTTTCCTCTGGAGAGGGGATCTCCCATCCATGCTGCAGAAGGTGCGCAGGGCTCTTGCTTTTGCCTGAGCTGAGGGAGAGGAGGACAAAGTCCCTTGTGGTTGAGTCTCCGTCCCTGGGGGGATTTAAAAGCTGGGCAGATGCAGTGCTTAGGGCCAGGTTTTAGTGGTGGGATGGCAGGGTTAGGTGAACAGCTGGGCTGGGGGATCTTAAAGGGCTTTTCCAATCTAAACGATTCTGTGATTCTATGAAAGAGACCTCTCTTGATGGATGTCTGGGAAGACTTTCTCCACGGTAACATCTGAAAGAAGGGCTTTTCTGAGTGCGATGTGGTGGGGTGGAAGGCGGGTGTCCTGCTAGATGGGCCTGGGGCTCCGTGCCTGCCTGGCAGATAGGAGGACAGTGTCTGCCCCTGGGGCAGCGGGGAGGGCAGTTGAGGCAGGCTCAGGCTCGCCACCATTTCACATGTCACACATTTGCACTTTGCAGGTGGTTTCATCCCAACATCAGCGGAATTGAGGCAGAGAAGCTGCTCCTCACCAGGGGCGTCCATGGCAGCTTTCTGGCTCGACCCAGTAAGAGCAACCCGGGAGACTTCACCCTCTCCGTCAGGTAAGCAGACAGGAGCAGACAGGGGCTGGACGAAGGGGCTGGCCCAAACTCCCCAGCACACCCTGTGTCCACGAAGGTACGTGCAAGGGGAGAGGCGCTTGCACGGCGATGACCTTTGTGGTATGGCTTGAAGCTCAGGTCGCTGAACTCTCCCCGTCGCCACAGAGGCTGTGCTAAAAGCCACACACTACATCCCCCCACTCGGTCATCCCCATGGGTTGCACGTGCCCCTGTCCTGCCAGGGCTAGCTCTTAACTTGTGGCACGTGTTCCTGCAGCTGCCGGTGCCAGAGGAGGGAGGATCAGGAGCCCACTCGCGTTTCTGGGGAGAGCATGTTCAAACCCAGCGGGGATGAATCATCTCCCTCCGGTTTCAAAGAAAATTAACGTAGCCACCTTTGGGAGAGACTTGCTTTCTGCGTTCCGTACGGGACCCCAGGAGCACCTCTGTAGGAAAGGGCACTTGCTGGCCAGCCTGGTGGTGGCTGTGTTCCCAGGCACTCCCGGTGCATCGCCTTCGAAGTGCTCCGGTGTCCTTTGGGAGCAAGGCAGTGGCAGAAAGGAAAGCTGCAGTTCTGCTGATGGTCTTTGTGGATGAAGCCCCTTATGGGGGTAGAACTTTCTAAGTTCTAAGGTGGAACAACCTTATGGGTAGAAGTCTCTGAGGGTGAGCTAAAGTGAAGAGGCGAAGGGTAACATTGGCCCGGTGAGTCCCTGAGATAAAAGGAGCAGGTTGGGGGTTCAAGGCACGAACCTCCCATGAGCACTGTCCAGCTGATGCCGTGCAGGGACATGGCTCAGCAAAGGTTTCTCCAAGCACTTGTAGCGCAGACCTCTTGGTTTGTTTTTTTTTTTCTTTTGTGGTGGCTTCTGTTTAAATTTAAACAACCCTCATTTTGTTTAGGAAACTAAAGTGAGTTTATAAATCTGCTCAGCAACACTGGGCTTGGAGAAGCTCCGTGTGCTCACCAGCACGGACAGAGTGTTTCCACCTGGCAGGGCACGGACATGGAACGGGATGTGAGCAACACCAGGGCGCTGTGAGCCCCGGTCCCTCCCTGCACACCTCTCCCCCTGCGTGACGATTGCCTTATTGCACACCGGGCCACGAACCCACTTTTTGGGCAACCCCAGGCAGGGGCTGCCAGAGCCGCTGGCGGGTCAGAGCAGCGTGGCGATGCTGCCTGGCTCCGGTGAGACTTTACCCTCTCCTTGCTGCCTTAAGCATTCCGGTGAAACCCTCGCTTCTCCTCCCCTTGCAATCATCACTGGACTCAAACCTGCGCTCCCCTCTGCCAAGCGCAGTCGTTTCTTAGCTTGGCAAGAGGGACGGTTTGCAGCTGCCTTATTTTTTTTTTTTATTTTCTTTTTTTTTTTTAATGCTTCCTTTTGTGTTGGGGAATACAACCCAGCAGCCTGACCCTGTGCCCCTCGGGCGGCTCCCACTGACCACAGCTCCTCACGCTATGGAGCAACACGGCGGAAGGGGAAAAGTCCAGCTTTTCCTGTGCCTTGGCTGGGTGGGGAGTGTCTGGATCTGGCTTTGCTTGCTCCCCAGTAATCTTGCAATCAGAAGTGGCTGTGAGTTAATGAGAGAGGCAGGAAGCGCTTCTAATTAGAATGGAAAATAAACTCAGTCACGGAGAGCTGCCTCGAGCAAGCTACGGCAGCAAGGGGATGCGTGGAAAAAAGGGGGGGGGTTGTCTTCATGTGAGCTTAGCGTCTCCTTTCGCGTAATTTTGTGAGTCAGGGTGTTGTCTGATTGTAAAGCGAAGCACCGACGGCACCCACTTGGCCGGGCTGCGTGCAAGCAGATGCAGGTTACGGCTGAGCAACACTGTCCTGATGGGGAAAGATAGGCAGCGAGCGGCGGAATTACCCTGAAAGAGCAGGGGCAGTTGCTTTGCCAGGAGAGCCGGTTCCCACACCGGCATTACCGCGCTCGTGCCTTGTGCCGTGGAGCTGCTCCACAAGCTTGCACAGTTTCCTTCCCTGAGCCCCAGCCAAAGGGCCCCTGGGTTTCTGCTGTTCTGTTGCCTCCTGCCTGTGCGGCTCCGCTGCCTCCCTCTTCCAGCTGCAGCACGTGTTGGGACGCAGTGGATAAAAGCTTGGCCTCCTGTGGAACCACCACGGACAGCTGGGGCGTCCCAGAGCAGTTTTATTATCGCTATTATTTCTTTATTCCTTTCTGCTTTCTTTGTGGCAGACGGCAGAGCGGGGGGAAGAAAGGAGTGCCGGGTTATCAGAGGGGGTTTGGATCACTCCCTACTGCAGGGAGACCTTTATTAAACATTTACCGCAGTGCAACAGTATTGTTTCGGCCATAAAATCGAGCCAATTAATGCCCTTAATGCATGAATGGTGCCCTGCAGGAATGAGGTGCGAGTTAAGAACACGGCGATACAGCGTGCCTTAATATCGTAGTATTGAACGATGCCACCACAGCCCACTGGCAGGCTGTAACTCAGTGGAAAGTCTGACCAGCTCTCGCGGTTCTGAGTAAAGCAAAGCCGTGACACAGAGCAAGTTTCCAGGAAAGCGCGTTAAACATGACACACCGGCGTAGAGGCAATGTGTTGAGGCATCGAGAACTGAAGGGAAGGAAAGAAAGAATTCTTTCATTGACTCATTCGACCTGCAAGTCCTTGCTCCTTCCTGGCTCATCCCATCTCTTTTCCAGGACTTGAGGCCAGGCTTGTCCTATAGTCTCAGGTGTGGAGAAGTGGCTTGGGCATGGGAACCGGTTAGGTAGAGCAGTTTTGCTTATATTTCATAGAATCATAGAATCGTTTAGGTTGGAAAAGACCTTTAAGATCATCCAGTCCAACCGTTCCCCTAACCCTGCCATCCCACCCCCAAACCCTGGCCCTAAGCACCTCGTCTGCCCGGCTTTTAAATCCCCCCAGGGATGGGGACTCAACCACCTCCGCCCTGGCACAACTTGAGGCTGTTGCCCCTCGTCCCATCACCCCTTCCCTGGGAGCAGAGCCCGACCCCCCCCCGGCTCCCCCCTCCCCTCAGGCAGTTGTAGGGAGCGATGAGGGCTCCCCTCAGCCCCCTCTGCTCCAGGCTGAACCCCCCCAGCTCCCCCAGCCGCTCCTTGTAAGACTTCATCTGAGCGATGTGCTCTTTTCCCGCTGATGACAGCCCCCAAACGTGTGCATGAATGTTCTTGGGAATTGGAGCTGCGAGCCCGGAGGGAGCACAGAATGAGTGGCTTTGTGCTGTGGAAGCTGAAAACCTGGGCGGCCGCCCTCCCCCTGTGTCTGTCCCCTTTCCCTGTTACATTGCACACGCACGCAGGTGCAACCGTGGTGTTATTCTCACCTAGAATTGTAACCTTTTTTTTTTTTCTTTAAATCTCTGAACTGGACAGGTCTACATATAGATATTTATTTTTTCCTTTCTGAGAAATAAAATGGTTTCAAAGAAAACAATACGGATAGCTTTGAAAATGTACCTAAAATAGAGGTGTCGGTGGGAGAAACTACCTTTAGGAAAACAATCAAAACTTCTTCCTCCTGCTTTCAACCCCCCCCTTCAGCTTCTTCAAAGATTTTTTGAAAGCCAGTGAGGGGAAAGGCGGCTCCTTTTAATTACAGAGAGGATGTGGGCTGAAAAGAAAGCAGGCGATGGAGCTTTGGCTGACCAGACCACACACCAAGTGACCATGTGCTGGTGTGTGTCCAGAGCTGTGTCCCTGAAGAGAGGCTGGGCAATAATATTGCAGGAGTTATGAGAAGGTTTCCATGAGACTCTGTGGCTGCTTTCCCTTCCTTTCCTTACCTCCGTGCACCCTTTAAGCCGTTGCCATTACAGCAACGAGTCTTCACGGGGCTTTGTTTTTTCAGCTCTTAAGAGAAAGAGGCGTGACACACGGAGAGGGCACGATGTGGTTAATGAACGGATGATGTTTGTCCTGGTTTTAAAATAATAGAAAGAAAAAAAACCTCTTCCAAAAAAAATAGTCAGCTCTGAGTCCAACAGTCAGCTTGTAATCGGCCAAACCCGGCTCCTTTCATCAACCCAACCCTTCCTCTTCTGAAGCGTACTCCTTCTTGGGGCGTCTCTGCAGATAAGTTCAAGAGCTTGTTCCACGCAGAGGATCGGACCCACCGGCCGTAACCCAGCGCCAAGAGGGCTGTGTTTCTGAGGAGTCCTTGGTGTGCTGGTGGTACGTTGGTACTAGGTACCGACTTCATATTTATTGGCTCATCTTACTCTTTGGGCACTTCAGCAAATACATGGAGCACATCAACAAGGGAGGAAAGGGGTCTGGCAACTTCGGCTGAAGTGTGATGATGACGGAGAGTCGGTTTGAGTAAGGCTGTAGTAATATCCGCTGTGTCTGTACGTGAGCTGTCTTGTTTTGCTCCACGCGGTTGCTGCAGCACTGCTCTCTGCAGGTATCTCGGCGTTGCCTCAACCCAGGCTATAAGGCAGCTCTGTATCAGCAGGTCCCTTAATGTGGGTGGCGTTCCCCATCGCAGGGGTTATGAGCGTTAGTGTTTGCCAGAGGTAATGACGGCACTCTGACACTTTGTGCTTTCCGTAGAGTGGCTCACAAAACCTGCACCGAATGGGACTGTGTGGAGGAATGCCTCGGCTCCTGAGCCTGGAAGGGGCTGGGAACTGGAGCTGGGCTTGCAGGAGAGCTGTGGAAGCTGTCCTGGGTGGTGGGAGCAGAGCCCTGCCAGTTGGGGGATTTTTGGAGGATGCAAGTAGAGTTTATTTGCCTCTTGCAATTCTGATGAGTGGCTGTTACAAAAGCTTCCTTGCCTTTCTCGTATGCCGTGACACATCCCATTTCCTACAAGGACCTGGTACCGGGTTTGCTTTTGATATTGAGCCTTCCAAATTTGAATCGTGATCCTTAAGAAAATAGACCTCCTTTTGAAGGTGAGGGCTGTTGGGGAAGAAACACGGGTGGCCATGCAGGAAATGCCCCATGTTTCCAGCCTTCGGTGCTTGCCTGGATCTGCCAGAGCATGTTTTCAGAAG